CTGCCCTGGGCCCTCCAGGCACCTCTTCACCATGCCCGTGCGGGTGCCCGGCCGCCTCAGCCCCAGTGCTGCCCACCGCCGTGCAGTTCCAGCAACTGCTGCTGGGGCAGGAAGGAGGCGTGGCCAGTGGGCTTGCTGCCCAGAGTCCAGAGGCCACCAGGCGCGCAGCGGGACTGGGCAGGCACTGCCTTGGGGTGCCTGCATCGCTGGCTGCCGAGGGAGCAGAGTCCACTGGGATCTTGGGACTCAGCTTCTCAGGGAAGGCTCCCCGGAGGGGCCAAGGGGTGGCCCCAGGGAGGGGCAGGCACCTGGTAACTAATGGCAGGTAGCCTTGGCTGACAGCTGCTGCTTCCTCAGCCTCACGCCCCAGGCCGGGCCTCAGGGTACTTTTTACTTTTTAGAGATACTGTTGCTAAACCTCTAAATTGCCCCTGCAATCCTCCTGCCTCAGCCTCCCAGAGTGCTGAGATTACAGGCATGGGTCACCACACCCAGCTTAGGGCTTTCTCCCGGTAGCTTTTATGTGCCACTTCACTCCCAGGGGACTTGTTCTTGGTGAGCAGAATTAGGCTGTGCCGCTGGGCACTCCTGGGTGACCGGGAGCGAGATGCCAGCAGCCCCTGACCTCCGTTTCCTTCTCTGCAGAATGGGGATAGAGCCAGCACGGGCCTCCGCAGGGCCCGAGGATGCAGCCCACAGGGGTCCCCTGTGCACTGCAGCGCAGTCAGCCCGCCAGGGCCCACGCTGCAGGCTGAACCTTGTGAAGGTGCAGCTGTTTCCATTTCATGTGTGCTTGTCGGCTTTGTGAAACTTGGGTCACCAACTTTTAAGGGTAACATTTTTTCCCAACATCTGCCAATCAGAGGGACAAGGGATAACATTTATTGTTTGTTTGCTTGTTTGTTTGTTTTTCCGGTACTGGGAATCAAACTCACGACCTCGCGCTTGCCAGGCAGGCACTGTGCCGCTGAGCTAAATCCCCAGCCCCAAGGGATAACATTTAGAATGGATTATTCCAGCCAGGCATGGCAACACACATCTGTAATCCCAGCACTGAGGGTCTGAGGCAGGAGGATTGCAAGTATGAGCCCAGCCTGCAAAATTTAGCAAGACCCTGCCTCAAAAAGTTAAAAAAAAAATTTTTTTAAGGCTGAGGATATAGCTCAGTGTGAAGGCCCTGCAGGAGGAGTCCAAGTCCACAGAAATAAGCATAAAAAGAATTGGGATAAAGCATGTTTGAATGATCCTCTCATTGTAAGTCTGTAGCGTGCATCTGTCCAAGGCTGAGTGAGCACTTTCAGCTGCTCAGGACTTGGGGATGTCCTGTATCACTCTGCACAGGAAGTGACCTCTCAGGTCCAGCCCCTGGGTGGTGACCTCATGTGTGTGGCATCCAGAAGTTTCTGTTCGGCGCCTATAGAGCTGGGAGGGAAGAGAGCCCTGTGGTGAAATCTGCACCTTTCTTCAGCTGTGGGTGACAGAGGACACTGGTTTTGACTCCTCCCTGAGAGCAGGGCTCTGCAGCACCTTCCTTGTAGGGGTGGGGAGCAGTGGGGTTTCGGGACAGGCTGGGACGCTGTTTCCAGGCAGGGGGCTTCCGGGTATCTGGGTGGGTTCAGCTCACGGGGATTAATTTTAAGACTCACAAGCCACTTGGATAACAATTACCTGGTTAAGTGTGCTGTGTTTGCACCCAAGCCTGTGGTCCTGTGGGGCTGTCAGAAGTCCTTTGCAGGTTCTGCTACAACTGCTGCTATTGGTGGGGTCACCCCCAAAGTCCTCTTCCCAGACGGACAGATGCATGGGCCCCCATGTGGTCCCGAGGATCACTGGAGGCCACCTTTCCCTCCCTGGGGTGGGGCAGAAGCCTCCAATGCTGGGGACTTGGCCGGTGCTGGACACAGGTGTTTCTGTCACTCTCCACACCAGAGGTCATGCACCGGCCTCGGCTGGGTTTTCCTGGTCTATGAAAGATTTACAAAAACATTTACAAACTGCGGCTACCACTTCCCTCATCAGAATTCACACCAAAGCCATAGTTCTGCCTCTGCTGGAGGAGCCCTGTGGAACGAGGCCAGTGACCCCGGGCTCCACGCTGACCACTCTTCCACTCATGAGTGTGTGACCTCCTCTGCCAGCCCTGCAGGTCCCCTCTGGGGACAGGCCTGGTGTCATGGTGGCTACAGGGACTTAGGAGCCCTGCCAGTGTGACGCACCTCCGTAATCCCAGCACTCTGAGAGGCTGAGGCAGGAGGATTGAAAGTTCCTAACCTAGCAATTTAGCAAGACCTTGTCTCAAAATAAAAAGTGTGTGTGTGTGTGTGTGTGTGTGTGTGTGTGTGTGTGTGTGTGTGTGCTGGGGAACGCAGCTCAGTGCAAAGGTCATGGCTTCAATCCTCAACATCGGTAAATAAATACTGGCCAAGCCATGGGAGTGGCCTCACAGAGCTCCACTTGAGCCTGCCCAATGGGGTAATTACGCGTGGTGATCACGTGCAGACACAGGCTCAAGGTGGGAGAGCAGAGAGAAAATGCTGTCAGACGCCAGCACACCGTCACTGCTCAATGCCACCGCCCCGCACTGATGCATGACTCACCTGTGGGCCCCAGACTGCAGGGCTGTACGCGGACTTGGGCAGGGCCATGCCCCCTTGCTAACTGCGCGGGACTGTAGAAAAGGTAGATCTGCTATGCCAGGCCGGCCAAGGACTGGTGGGTCGTACCTGTGGCCAGCAGGGGGCGCCAACACCCCTCAGACGGGCAGGTTTACAGGCACAGCCTCGTCTGAGTCCCTGGTTGTAGACCACTAGGTAGTAAGCCCAGGCCTTGGTGGGGGCTCACCCCTGGCAGGCACCTCAGTGTCCTTCAGTAACCTCTGAGGCCGGGACTCCCATTATACCCACTTGACAGACGAGGAAACCAAGACTCAGACAGGTCCCAGGACAACTGGGGAGCAGCTCACCAAGGCTGGGGGCAACTGCAAAGTCCACCATGCTGCACAAGAAGGCTTGAGACCAGGGGGTGTGGTGGGCAGAGAAGGCCTTGTGGGAAGGCCGACAAGCTTCCAGGGATCACCCTGCCCATGGGCAAGGCGGGCAGTGTAAGGCAGGGCTGAGATGGAGGAGCAGCATGACCCGGCGGCAGGAAGGAGGAAGGAGGACAGGAAGGAGGACAGGCTCTGGGAAGATCGGGGAGTGGCAGTGTCTTCCTTACTTCCTTGTTGCTGGTCCACAACACCACAAGTTGAAGGAGGAGAGGTTTATTTTAGCTCATAATTAGTGGAGGTTTTAGTCCACAGTCAGCTGGCCCTAAGGCAGAGGGATGTGGCAGAGGAAACAGTCTATGTGAGGGCAGGAGGAGGCAGCAAAGCAGTGAGCCTCCCTTTCCCTTTTGTCCCACCCAGGCTGCAAGCCTATTGGATGGTGCTACCCACACCCACGACTACGCTAAGCCAATCAGAGGACTAAGTTAGTGATCACATACCTAATCCAGCATTACACACCCATGGTCCAGCCACCTCCAGAGAGCCCTGCCTATGAGGCCATGAGGCTTTGGGGAGACATCTGGACACAAGCTACGACAGGGAGGGAGAAAGGAGTCACACCGTGGTTGGTCCCTGCACCCTGACTTGGCCTCAAGGGCCCCAGAGGCTGAAAGCCTGACGCCTCCTCCCCTCTTCTCCCAGGCCAGCTGCCAGCCCCAGCCATGAGCAAGCCTAAGAAGGACCGGGTCAGCACCAGCAGATCAGATCCCGTACCCGTTGTCATCATTGGTGAGTGTCCCCGGGGGCAGAGGGGTCGCACACTGAGGTCAGCAGCTGGCCGGGGCTGGGTGTGGCGAGTTCCCAATAGCTGTTCATCCCATGCTTCCGAGACTGCTGTGGTGTTTGGCACAAGCCGAGGACTGACAAATTTCTTGTCATGGATGAAAAATAACGGCTGAGCGCCCCACCGGGATCTCTGACCATGCCCTGTCTCTGCAGGCAATGGGCCCTCGGGCATCTGCCTGTCCTACCTGCTCTCTGGACACATGCCCTACGTGAAACCAGACGCCGCCCACCCACACCCGCTGCTGCACAGGAAGCTGGCCGAGGCTTCGGGGCGCTGCCTCCTGGACCAGGTGGGTCCCTGACCCCTGAAGAGTCTTTCCCAGGGAAGACTATGCGAGTGGGGACCCACACAGTGTGGGGGTCCATGGGGTTGGCCCCGCCCTGGGGAGTTGTGAGGTCAGGGCACCCCAGATGCACAAACACCACTTCACGGGCCTCAGCTGGGGCCGCATCCTCCCCAGGGGACGCCTGGCAGCTCTGATGCTCCTGGCTGTCACAGCGGGGGTGCTGGACTACTGAAGGGGGCACCAGGAGCCCCTCCAGTGCTCACTGACCCCCTCCCACCCTGAGCCGGCGGTGAGGACAGGCACGCAGGCCCCTCAGGCTATGTTCTGTAGGACAGCAGCTCCCCGCTGCCATATGCACAGGGGACAGTCCCCCTCCAGGATATGTGGGGGAGGCCGGCTCTGGCAGAACTCGGCTGGTAAATGTCAGCTGCAGGAGTCCTCAGAGTCTTCAGCACGCGGCACGCGTCTCCTGGGAAAAGGCAGCATTTCCCAACCCCAGTGACAGTGCGGAAATACAGGGCCAAGCCCCTTCCCAGCCGCTCGCTGGCGGGGGCGCCTCGGTCAGACCCGGTCCCCCACGCCGGTCCCCGCCGTCCTGCCTGCCCTTTCTCCCTGACCTGCTTCCCTCTGCAGGACCTGGATTACCTGTCTGAGGGCCTTGAGGGCCGGAGCCAGAGCCCCGTGGCCCTGCTCTTCGACGCCCTCCTGCGCCCAGACACAGACTTCGGAGGCACCGCGGACTCCGTGCTCTCCTGGAAGCGGCAGAAGGAGCGAGCCGTCCCCCACCTGGTCCTGGGCCGCGGCCCGCCCGGGGGTGCCTGGCACGTGAGTGGGGCCCCCTGAGGCTCCCTGCCTACCCTCACTGGCTGCTGCTCCCCTTCCCTCAGCACCCCCGCCTCCCTGCTCCCTCTCTGTCTGGCCCCCTGCCCAGGCCCAAGGCTGCAGGGCTGCCGAGGCGGGCCCTGAGGACCCCTTGCCTTGCAGGCCATCGAAGGGTCCATGGTGACCCTGAGCCAGGGCGAGTGGATGGGGCTCCCGGACCTGCAGCTCAAGGACTGGATGCGGAGGAAACGCAGGTGAGACACCTGGGGAGCAGAGAGGCCTCCAGAGGAGAAACTGAGGCTCAGACGGGGAAAAGACAGCCCACAGAGGAGCGGGAGGGAACATCTAGCAGGTGCCCTGCTTCCTGCCCCACCATGCGTCCCGACTGGGCCTCAAGTATGTGGCACCCCAGCCTTTAAGAAGGGCCTGAGTGGCCCCTGCTCCATGCAAGTGACTTCCCATTAGAGACCTGGCCACACCTTGGAACTGACCCCCGAAGCCAGTACTCCGGACAGCTGCAGGGGACGGGGGACATGCACTCCAACCTCTGCTCGTTCTGTCATGAGGGAGTGGCTTGATGCTCCGTGAAGGGGTCTACCCCACAGGGAAGCCATATCCTCTCTCCAGGCTGTGCCTCTGCAGGTTCGCTGTCCCTGTGATGCAAAGACCCCACCCCTCAGAGTTGACAGGAAGACATGCAGGTGTGGGTGGTGAGGTGCTGGCAGATAGAGGGGCTTCCCTTTCAGCAGGTGCCAGCCCTTTTCATGCCCTACTTTTATGTTTTAACATTGTATCCTAAGCATTTCCCAAAGTGAGGACAGTGTTGCAGCCGTCCTTTTACACCGCCTAGTAATACTCCCAAAGGGCATTCTTACTGTGAGCCAGGCCTTGTGCTTAGAGGTCAAAGTGGAAGACACACCAGCTCTCTCGCTGCCCTTGTGGCCTGCCATGCTCACCTGTCATTTTTGTTAATAACCCCCCGTGGGTCCTCCCCTTAAGACAGACCTCTGTGACAGGTTTTATAAAAATGGTGAAGGGGACCAGCAGGCCCTAGGGGCTGCTCCCGCGCTCAGCCTTCAGGGGCAGCGGCCCGGGCAGGCGGCCGCGAGTCACTGGGAGCGTGCTACCACTGTGGCGCCCGAGGAGCACAGTCAGCTTGTCCTCAGCAGGGACCCCGAGCCAGAACGGAGTCAGCCCGGTCACTCCATGGGGCGCGGCGCGCCGAGCTGAGGCCCAGCATGGGCTTCGTCCACCGCTGAGCCCCACCGCTGAGCCCACCATCCCATTCTGCTTCTCATTTTTTTGTTTTTAAATCTTGAGGCAACGTTTCACTAAGTTGCCTGAGCTGAGCTTAAACTGTGGGTCCTCCTGCCTCAGCCTCCAAGAGTGCTGGGAACATAGTCAGGAGGCACCACCCCTGATGTTCAATGGAATATGTTTTGTTTTGTTTTGTTTTTGGATTTTTAAGACAGGGTCTTGCTTTGCAGCCCAGGCTGACCTCAAACTCATAATAATCCCCTGCTTCAGCCTCCCAAGTGCCGGGATCACAGGTGTGCGCCAGAGCGCCCGGCTTAATGGCATATTTGTAGTCAGCCTTTAAACTGAAATCCAGTCTCCACATGGAAAAGCACCCCGCTCCTGAGCGCAGGCTGCCTGACACTGCCTCCTCCAGGAGTTTAGAAAGACGGGCTCACGCTCTTACACGCCGCGTTACATACCCCTGTGCGGTGGCGAGGGTGGGAACCCACTTGCCACCCACCACTCGGGCCAGCCCCGCCTCTAGTCCTCCACGGAGCCTCGTGGCGTGGCCCTGCCAGAGTCACTGCCCTGGTTCACAGTGAGGAAACCGAGGCACAGAAGCCTTGGCCGTGCAGCCAGGACCTGAGCCCAGCCAGCTCTGGAGGCTGCGCTCGGCCCTCCTTCCTCCAGCCCAGGCGCGGGGAGGGGGTGGTCAGCACCATTTCACCCCGCCTGCCCGGCCCGGGCGCTCACTGCCCCTCGCTTCCTGCCGCTCCACAGAGGTCTTCGCAACAGCCGGGCCACGGCCGGGGACGTCGCCCACTACTACCGAGACTACGTGACCCAGAAGGGCCTGAGCCACAGCTTCGTGCCCGGCGCCCTGGTCACAGGCGTGGAGATGGGGACACCGCAGCCCAAGGACGCTGGTCCCCTCTTCCAAGTGAGCGGCATGCTGACCACCAAGGACCGGGGCCAGCGGCCCTTCTCCCTGTGGGCCCGAAATGTGGTCCTGGCCACGGGCACGTTTGACAACCCAGCCCGGCTGGGCATCCCGGGCGAGGACCTACCCTATGTCCACCACGAACTGTCGGTGCTGGAGGCGGCCACGCGGGCGGGCACCATCACCCCGGCCTCCGACCCTGTGCTCATCGTGGGCGCGGGGCTGTCCGCAGCCGACGCCGTCCTCTACGCCCGGCACTGTGGCCTCCCTGTGATCCACGCCTTCCGGCGGCCGGTGGACGACCCCGGCCTGGTGTTCAACCAGCTGCCCAAGATGCTGTACCCCGAGTATCACAAGGTGCACCAGATGATGCGGGAGCAGTCGGTCCCGTCGCCCAGCCCCTACGAGGGCTACCGTAGCCTTCCGCAGCACCGGCCGCTGCTCTTCAAGGAGGGCCAGCAGGCCGTGCTCTGCGACCCGCACGGCCACCACCAGGTCCTCGGTGTCTCCCTGGTGCTAGTTCTCATTGGCTCGCACCCCGACCTCTCCTTCCTCCCGGGGGCAGGCACCAGCCTCGCAACTGACCCCGAGCAGCCCCTGAGCACCAAGAGGAACCCCGTCGAGGTGGACCCCTTCACCTACGAGAGCACCCGCCAGGAGGGCCTGTACGCCCTGGGGCCGCTGGCTGGGGACAACTTTGTGCGATTTGTGCAGGGCGGGGCCCTGGCCGCAGCCAGCTCCTTGCTAAGAAAGGAGACCCGGAAGCCACCCTAGTGTCCGGCCAGAGCCCTGGCACCCAGGCCCTGAGAACAGAGAGATCGCACAATCGTGGGGCACGCAGGGCCCCTCAAAGATGCCCCGTGAGGGTGGGGGACGGGGACCAGGCACCGCAGAAGAATGAGGGACACAGGCTCCAAGGCTGGAGCAGGGGCTGCAGGCCAGCGAGGGCTGCGCCTGGGATCCGGGGGAAGCCGCTGGAAGCGGGGTCCCCAGGCCTACCTGAGCGCCCACCAGGACAGTGGCAGCCTGGTTCCTTCCAGAATCATTCCCAAATAAAAACAGCGTCTGCCTCCACGACGTCTGAGGACAGTGCTTGGGAGGCAAGGGTCCCTGGAGGACGCGGCCTGGGGCTGGGGGGCAAGGTGGCGCCCAGGTGGAGCTGTGCTCGCCGTGGCCGGGTAGGGGCAGCCTGTCTCCTCAGCCGGTCCCTGCCCGCCCCACCTCGGGTCCAGACACTGCTCCCGCCTGCCCCGGGGCCTTCGCACAGGCTGGCTCTGGCCCAGGGCCACCTCCTGCTCCGTAAGTCCTCTCTCAGACCTCTCAGCGCAAGCATCCCTGCGCTGCAAAGGCTCCCTGGCCTGGCTCCCTGGCCGCAGCCTCCGCGCCCCAGGGGGCAGGTGTGCATTTCGATGTGGACTCATTTCAGTGTCTCCCCGCAAGAGACCGAGGACTAGGTCTCTCTGCCCGTCACTGTCACCTGAACCCGGTGCCCCGGCACCAGGCTTGGTGCCCAGTGGGCTCCAAGACCGGCGCAGGGGCGCTCCGTGCGGAAGGAGGGCTGTGCCCGGCAGGGGCTGCGGGGCGCGGGGCGCGGGGCCCGAGCCCCGGAC